TTTGGATTTTACTGACTGCCAATCTATAGTGTACATACAGAGCTCAGAGACACACACTACTACTGAAGTTCAGCTGGTGACTCTGGGTTTCATACCACAATTACATTAGTGGTGAGGACGGGGGTCACAAAGACATGCTGGTGAAAGGTGGACTGTTTTGATCTGTTGAGAGAACCTTGTTTCCTTTGGTTTAGTTTATGGTCAGTATACGACAATTCACCATGACGTCACAACAGTAATAGATGTTCTTCCAGGTGGCAAAAGCCAAAGTGTTCCTATGTCAGTGTTCGCTAAATTGCTTGGAAGGGAGACCCACCGTCAAATGTTTATATTTTTTTAATTAAATATAATGCATTTTTTATCATAATAACAACTGTTTCTAATTATATAAGTAAAAAATATAATAAACATGTAATATAGGCCTACACATAATTAATAAAATACTCTCTAGCTCATTTTTCTTGCCAAAATAACGTGCTATATAACCTATCATGGTCATTAAATGGCTTTCCTGAGGTAAATGTTATGTGACAATTGTTCTCCAGCTGTTATATTAACCTGTTTGCGCGGTTGAAAAACACTGATTGGTCGATATTATATATGAGGAATATACATTTCGGTAAGTTGCGTGAGAAAACAGATGTGTGGCGTGAGAGCGTGTGAAAAGTGACAATTGCGTGAGTGTGGGCAGCCCTCTTTTACTTCAGGCAGTGACTGGCAATGAGTCCGATCTTCAAAAGAGACAAGTTTACTAATATTAGTCTCGAATGCAAGTCCCCGCTGAAGATAAAATGCTCTGTTATGATTTTGTAGATGGACCGTTTTAGGACATCATCATTAAGATTTCCTACTTTTGACGACACAACGCTCACTTGCTATAACCTCCTCACCCACAAGAAATCGATACAACCCCTACAACTTTTGCTGTAAATCTGGCAGTGCAACCCCAAACGCAAGATGTTTTCATCATCGATTCAACTTCGATCAACAACAATGTGTTTTACTATGTAACTGTTACAGTAGCGGCTGGATCTCTTCAGTTAGTCAGTAGAAGCCGCTCGCGTTCTGCCACCCGGAAGTATCTCGGTGCCTATTGTTTACAAACATTCTGAAATGCCGTATAGAGGATGTTAGCATTTAAGTTTGGGTTATGGGTGCAGGGTTATACATATTATATTTATATTTCACCAATGTGGCATTTATTTGATCAAAAACACAGTAAAAACAGTAATTATTGCAATTTAAAATAACTGCCTTCTATTTCATCTAAATCCAACGCACATGACACCCTTTAGCGTCAATATAACAGACACAGAGCTTTGTTCGGTTATGGGTAGGTTTAGGTTTGGGGTAGGGTTAGGGTTAGACCACCAGGAGGCGACTTCTGGCCCACATACATCTGCGTCTCATATACCCCTTTTCCACCAAAAAAAGAACTGGTTCAAAACTGGTGCTGGTTCAAAGTTGGTTTCGGAGTTGGTTCAACTTGTGAACCGCTTCAGAACCTGTTTGTTTTTCCACTGACTAGAGTGCCCAGGGAACGACGTCGTTACGTCACTGTATACGTCTTAGCTAGAAATGCTTGCAAATAAAACATTACTTTCGGATTATCTCTAACTCGGATACCAAGAAAGCTTAAGTCTTTTAATCTTTTCGTTTGATATGTAATTTTTTCTGATAAGTTATGTACCCCTGTAATTGTGTCTTTTTTCTTTACATTTATTTGTTCTATATTGTGACTTTTCTTCTTTGCTTATAATGTCTTCAATAAAAAAAATTACAAAAATAGAAACGCTTGCGTTAACTTCAAGCATAACAGTTACAAAGGCGGACTCCATCGTGTTTCTGCAAATGTTTCTCTTGGCTTTGCGATCCTTTATTATGGTCAAAAAAGATGTTTAGAACACATCTAAACCCGGCCCAGCTCCCGACGTAAGCATGACGTGGTAAAAGAACGGTTCTAGTCCAGCCAAGAGTTGGTGCCACTTTGGAACCAGTTCTCCTGGCCGAGAACCGGTTCTTTGACTGTCGAAACACAAAGAACTGTTTCGCGCACAGGCACCGGCTCCGATTCGGCTCTCAAAATGCTTTGGTGGAAAAGTGGCTTTATTGATGCTAAAGGGTGCCATGTGCGTTGGATGTAGACGAAATGTCAAAAGCGTCAGTATACAGACCCTTTTACGGTTTGTACACAATGATGACATGGCAGCGTATGCGCGCATATTGGCAATGGAAGTATGGCGAGAATCAGCAGCGTGTCAAGCTACGCGAGCCGATTTTGATTATGTCCTCGTTCCAATCAACACGTTTAATCGCCTGCAAACACAGGCGCTGCCGGTTCTTCTGAAGCGGCTGTGATCCTGTCGGAATCCTATAAAACTTAAGCCCCTTGGTTGAATATCGATTAGTGCAACTGTAAACGCAACAACCAGACATCTTGAAGCTGGGAAACCGCTTTAATAAACTTTCAGAGTTGCGCCAGTGGGAAACAACACCACTT